GCAGCTAGCTTTCGCGGAAATTTCCTAACACCCGAGACTCTACACTGTACACTTCTCGGCCGTTAAAGTCAGCACCTGGACCTAGGATCTCCAACAGCACCGCCATTGCCGAAGTCTTCTCCCGCATCGACCACAAGTTCGACCTGATGTACTCCAAGCGTGCCTTCGTCCACCACTACGTCGGAGACCTGGGCTGCTTTCAGAAGTCATCTTTCACTTGAACAACTAGTAGTACGTTCCCATTATCATCCTTAACCCGCAAAAAAGTACAAAGCTTCCCAAGACTCTGTTCTATTTATTAGCCCCTGTTTTGGATCTCCAAGTAATCGCGAGCGAGAAGCAAGCAAGCAGCAGTTCAGCAAAAACTTCCTCTGATCCCTTTGCATGTTCTTCGTGAGTAGCGCTTTGCCCCGAAGCCCTACGCTGCAAAACCCTGAACCCACAACCCCAAAAGCCCTGAACCGGAAGCCCCATGGGAACCCCGGCGCATCCCAAAGACAAAAGCCCAAAGCCCCTAGGCCCTGTAGAACCGAATTTCATGCCGCAAAAACCCTCACACAGTTTTGAGAACCCTACGCTAGCCTGACCCGCTACAAACCGAAATCCTCAAAAAACCTATATCACAGCTTCAATCCTTGCGAAACCAGCCCAAAACTCCAAGCCCTCTGACACCGGACCGTGCTTATTTCAGAGCCTGGCATAAAGCTTCGAAAAGCTCCGTCAGAAGCCCTAAGCCTCGCAACTGAAGCCCCAGCCTCTGAGGCTCTGCTACCAATTAGGAACAAGCTTCCCTTATAGCTCCCTGTAGAAGAAGAACATACTCCAAAACCTTATTCAAACGGTTACTGCAAGGCTCCGACAAATAGGACAAAAGCAGCTCCACAGCCCCGCCAAAAGCATGCTACATCAAATCGGAATCAGAGGCTTTTACAACCCCCTTGAAGATTTCCTGCTCGGTCAGGAGACCTTTTTGAACCCTCAACCCTACACTAAAATCCGAAGCCCTGGAGGTCTAGACCCCAACCGATCCCAAATGCAACCCTCCAGCTTCAAGAAGAAAAAGCCCTACACAGCCTTTTTACCTCCTCCTTCATTGTGTTCCGTAGAGCCCTAACCAAGCTGAAACTTAAACGCTTAAGCACGAAATAAATCTCTTGAAGCATGAAACCCAAAACCCTAAAGCCCCCGTTGGAACCTTTTGCACATTCTCTGTGTTGATATTACCCTCTCGAGATCCTAGAGCTCCAAAGGGCTCGAAGCCCCAACAAACTCCCCAAAGAGCCACTTGGAGCCGCAAAAGGAGCTCCTTGGAGCCATAGAGCCCCAACAGCCCCCCCCCCACCTGGCGCGACCGGGTTTTGGAACTCTCCGAGGTCCCGAAAGCCCCGAAAGCCCGAAATCCTTCGAAGGACCCTTCAAAGGACCCCCTGAACAGTGAAAGCAGCCAGAAAAGCCTACCCAAAAGGACCCCTAAGCCCTGAACTACCTCAGCCCTTCGGAAGGTTTCACGCTAGAAGCCTTTACAGTGATCCTGTTTGAGAGCCTTCCGAACCCTAAACACGAACGCGACCTGTTTTGGAGAGCCCAGGAGAGGGCATGGAGGAAGGCGAGTTCTCGGAGGCCCGGGAGGACCTGGCGGCCCTGGAGAAGGAGCCTTCTTCCTTTCTGGGGCTTTCAGAGAGGCTTTGCATTTTTGGTACAGAATGTCTTTAGATCAAGAGTTTAGGTGTCAGAGAATGGTTTCATGTATTTTTTCGGTGGTGATCAGCGTTTTGGAAGGGTCTTGCGACAGTTTCTGCTGGATTCAGAGGGTCGTCTAGGTTCGAGAATCGGGTTTCCATGAATTTCAACAGGCGTTGTGGGTTTTGTATAGAGATGTTGGGCTTCTAATCGGGTTTCAGGCGTGGGGCCTCGCAAGATCATAAGGCTCCTCATCGACTTCTACGGATGCACTCGGCGTTTCTAGTGCTTTGGAGCTTGCAAGGCTTCACCTTACATGGATGTTGAGGCTTTGGTCGGGCTTCGGGTATTGGATTATATAAGGGTGCGCGTCGCATGATGCTTGGCGTTGAGGCCGTTTTCTGCCGAGGACGGATAAGAGTGTTGGAAGCAAGCTTCTGCATGGGCATTCTCGGCATGTCTCCATCATTGCGTCTGCTTGTCATCTTCATCTTCCATTTCGTTCATCTGGATTTGGTGAGTTCGCTGTTCGATGGAGCTACAGCTACGGTTTGCTTGATAGTTTTGAGCGGATGGCGTTTGTGGTACTCGTACTCGTAGTGGTCTCTGTGGGTGTCTGTGTTTCTGTTTCAAGTTTTGGTTTGATGTTTTGGGATTTGAATGTCCTTCAGCTATTTCCTGCAAAAGAGCCAGCCTAAACCGTGACAGCGCATGCATTTATATGGAGCCCGTGTAGAAGCACAAATTCTCACAAGATTTTTGAATTTCACATCGATTGAGCTGCAAGAGAAAGAGCGCAGGACTACGAGGAGGTCGGCATCGAAACTGCGGAAGGCACAGTGTTCAAAGGTTTAGGACTTAACACAGAGGCCTTAATCGTCAGAGTAGGGTTTGGGGTTTTCTATACCATAGTAATGACATGTAAGGAATAGCACACGCAGGGTGCAAGGGCGGGCTCTCTTTTGCCTGACTACATTGGGCCTCTGTCAAGCTGTTGATGATTTTTCTGCAGAAGTTAATCGGCTCGACGAGGAAGGGAGGCGTTCTGGGCTCAACTGGCGCCAAGCCTGTCGTTCTTGCTGGCGTGATCCCAAACAAAAGCGGGGCACAGCAGAAGCAACACGTGTTCTCTCGGATGCGCGACGCTCGCGTGCCCGCTCCTCTGTCAGTTGCAGGCCGAAGGTCGGTTGCTGCATGCTGTTTGTGCCTTGCGTGGCTTTGATCCCTTGCATGCTTGTGTCAATGCTGTTGTGTTTTATCGCTACCCGGGTGGCACACAACGCTTTGACATCCATGACCGGGCTGAGCAAGCCATCGCTGCCATCGCTGAAGATTGTGTTGCGTGGGGTAACGTTCCAGTTGTCCTTGCTGGAGACTTCAATTTCCCTGTTGATGAACCTTGGCTCAGCTTCAATTGCGTGGGTGACATGACGCTGCTTGGACTTCGGCGCGTGCCGCTGGTGCCACCCCGCCTCCCACGTGAATTGCTCAGGCTAATATGGTGCTGGTACACGGGTGGATGCGCTCTTTCTCGGCCTGCGTCTGGCTCCGGGCCTGTGTGATGTCAGCTACCCGCCGTCTGGCCTTCCTGTCCACAAGCCCATGGTTACTTCCTTGCAGGCTGCTGTTGTCGCGGGTTACGTTGTCAAGCATCCGACGCCCGTCCGTCAGGATTCTGCCTCGGCTATTGCTTGGGTTGCTCCCAGCGTTGCTAGTTTGGGGAGGGGCTGCGCCTGCTTGGCAGCGTGCTCGCAACGCGGGTGTTTAGGGTTTAGAACCCAAACCCTAAACCTCAAACCCTATAAATCCTGTAGGGTTGAGGTTTCAAACCCTAAACCTTAAACTCTATAAATCCTGCAGGGTTTAGGGTTCAAGGAAACCCTAAACCTTAAACCTTAAAGCCCAAGGGTGTAGGAGGGAAATCCTAAATCCTGTAAAGTTCAGGATTTAAGGTTTAGGGTTTAGAGTTTAAAACATTGTAGGGTTTAAGGTTTAGGGTTTAGGGTTTAGGAACGGTCGTCCGAAAAGGGTGCGCATGGCTCCGCCTCGTCTTCGGGACTGCGTTGCCTCTCCTGCAACCGCGGTTAAGAATGCAGCTCGCCAGCGTTTCCTCCGGTCCCTGGAGCAAGCTGGTAGACTTCGGCTTCAGGTCGCCGCTGCTACTGCATCTGTTGATGCTGAGCGGGAGCTGCGTGCTCTCTGGCAGCATCTTTGTCAGCGTGACATGAAGTATGTTCCGGTTGAGTTATGGAGCAGCTGGTTTGTCACTCAAGCTCCTTTGCCTGAGTACCAGAGCCTCTGTCTTGCGGTCGACTTTGTCTCTTCTGCTGTGACTCGGCAGCATGAGGCTGAGACCCGCTGTCGCCTCTCCTCGTGGCGTGAGACCTGTCGGGCCCGGTGGCGCGATCCCAAGCAGAAGCGTCACATCTTCTCTTGGGTTCGTCACTGTCGCGCTCCTCCCCTTGTCTCGGTCAAGCTCCCCGACTCTGGCGCTGTGTCCTTTGAGGCCACTGATGTTGAGCGTGTCTTGTGGTCCAAATGGCAGCCTGTCGTCTGCCCTGGTGAGGGCGAGGCACCTAGCGTGGACTTTGATACTTTTTGGCGCCGGTTTCGTCAATATGCTGTCTCTGCGCCGGTTGCCCTGCTGAGGATTGCAGCGGCTCACCTCCGCGATGCCATCCGCTCCATGTCCGACTCCTCGTCTGGTGGTGCTGATGGTTGGGCTGTCAGTGAACTCAAAAGCTGGCCTGACTTCCTTCTGCAGAAGCTTGCTGACCTTCTTAATGACGTTGAAGACTCGGGAGGGCGCTGGCCTCCTGATTTGCTTCTCCAGGTTGTGGCTCTGGTCCCAAGGACTCTACTGAGGAAGACCAACGGCCCATCACGGTTGCTACTTTGGTCTACCGGGCCTGGGCTTCGGTGCGTGCACGTCAGCTGAGTGAGTGGGCTGAGACCTGGGCGGCTCCAACGCAGTTCGGTTATCGACGGGGCAAACGCTCTGTTGATCCTGCTTGGTTGTCGGCGGCTGCTGCTGCGCAAGCATTCATCGCATGGGTTTTTCGCTGGACCTTGCTAAGGCGTATGACTCGATCCCGCACCAGGTTCTTTGCAACCTCCTCGTCCACAGTGGGTTGCCTGTGAGCTTTTGTGATACTTGGCTTGGTGCCATCCGGGGCGCTCGCAAATTTCTAATAACAGCTCATGGCCTTGGGCGGGAGTTCAGTGTGAACCGCGGCCTTCCTCAAGGTGATGCTCTTGCGTGCGTCGGCATGAACCTCCTCATGTTGGTGTGGTCCCGCGCGGTCGCTTCTGAAACGGCTGTCTCGGTGTGCAGCTACGCAGACGATGCTACACCTGAAGCTGAAGGTGGCCGTCCTGTTCCGGTCTTTCGTGAGCTGCGGCAGGGCATTTGCGTCAGCTTGCAGATCAAAACATTACAGCTTCAAGGCCAACCTCTCCCTCTCAAGGCTGCTAGCAAGGATCTTGGTTGCCAGGTCGTGTTTCATGGTCCTCGTCGCACCCAGATTCAGTGTGAGCGTTTCTCGAAGGCTCGCAAAGCTGCGAAGCGCGCCCGCTGTTCTCCCCTTCCCCACCTGCAGAAGGCTCAGCTGGTCTGCGGTGCTGCTTCCAGCCCTGCCAACTACGGCCTTTGGAGACTTGTTTTGTGGGTGAGCGACCTTTGCAAGAGCTCAAGCCCCCAAGCGGCACATTCGGTCGGCTGATGCTGTCCTGTTGCTCTTCACGCAGGCCCACCTTGCTACCAGAGCTTCTGTACCCTTCAGCGGTGTTTGCTGGCCGATGATGCCCGTCGGCGTGCATGGCCCGCCTGGTGGCAGACTGCCTCTGTCCGAGCGGCTAACCCGCGTGGCCCTGTGTCGCTTTTGTGGTCGCTTGTATCTGGGTTTCAGTGGATTTCGCCTTCTCCTTTCACACTCCGCACTGCCACTGCCGACTTCAACCTCCTCACTCTTGAGCCGTCTGCGCTGGCTCATGAGCTTCGGGAGGCCGCCCGGCTCTGGGCTTGGCGCCGTGCCTTTCGTCTGCACAAGCTTTACGACGGTGTTCAGCACAGTGGTGTTGACCGTGTTGCTACAATGCACCTGCACGCGTCCCTGTCTGACCTCTTTGCGTGGTATCCTTGCTGATGCTCAGTGGACCAGCTCTCATGCTTTCAATGCCGGGGAGGCTCTGACCTCCGCGTGTCCTTGTGGTGCCGTCAAGCAGGACACTTTGCACTACTTCTGGGCCTGTCCTGACTTCCTGCAGGCTCAGCACTGCGAGCTTTTCTCACTTAAGGACACCCCCTTGCCTTGGCCGTCCTGCCTGACCTTGTGCGGCCTCGTCGCTGCAGACTTTCCTGCCGGGCCTTCTGAGCACAAGCACCTTGCCACTTTGACGCAGCGCTACCTTCTTGACGTCTGCCACTTTCCAGCTGGTGAAAGCGCGGGCGTCCCTGACACGCCCGAGTCGCAGGCCTTTCCTCCTGAGGTTGCTGGATCCGGTGCACTCCCGCAGTCCCCGGGGGCTGCTCCGGTGGTTGCGGTTTCTGAAGCGACTGTCGTCCTGCCTGACCCGTCTGTGCAGTGCTCCGCGGCTGTTAAGCGCAATGTGTTTCCTTGGCCTGCGGCTTTTCGTGATGACCTCGTCACTTACCTGCGCACTCTTCGCTGGCCTTCTGTGCGCGTGGGATCGCCGAATGGTGCCGGGATCACATGGGCCGAAATCGCTGTGTTGCCAGGACGAGAAAGAGAAAGAAGCTGCTACACAGGATTGCCGATGCCAAGGATGCTGTGCTGGTATGTGGCAAAAGCGGCCCAAAAATCTGTTTTGGCCCACGTCGACCACAAACCCACGCTGATGTGCCTTCCCTCAAAGGGTTGCCGCAGCAGGTCAAAGACGATGTGAGACATTGAGGCTACAGGAAGTGAGCCTAGCACGAATAGCCCGACGCTGACGCGTGTAACCATCGCCAGTGATTTCGCTGATCAGCAGATGGTAGGCAAAGTTTTGGACCAGCCATTGAAGGCCTGCCTTGGCATGGCAAACAACCTGACCCGAGTCCCCCATGGGGCCTGGAAGTGCTCGTTGCAGGTTGCTCAATCAAGAGGCGGATGCTGCCGCAAACAAGTGCAAGGAGCGTCGTGTAAATGCCCCCGCAGAAGCGTCTGGCAGAACGAACTGACAAGGGCAAGAGCCTGGGAGGAGGCCGCAATCAAAGCTGCTGCGGCTGCCTCCATCGTGTTGCACGAGCAAATATCCCAAAATGCTGCCGCCGACTGGACCCAGCTCGATCTTCCTGTCTCACCAGTGACCTCCGGCGGCCTTCGCATCAACAACCGTTGTGTGTGCGCTTATCAAGCAGGTGAGGAGTTGACTTCCTGATGGATGCCACGGCGCGGGAGAGAGACAGCAGGGGCTGGTCTCACAGATGCACGTGCGGCTGGCGGCTGCGGGCTGACTGGGCTGTGCACAGCTGCTTTACAAAAAAAACACAGAGAGTCTGCGGACGAGCCGTTTCACACCCTCTTCTTCGCCAGCGGGTTCAGCCCGCTTCTTGCAGGAAAAAGCGGTTGCAGAAGGGGTGGGGGAAGGGTTTGGGGTTTAAAGAGGGGTTGAGAATCAGCATGTGCGTGGGGTTTAGTGGCATTTCTTGCGCCATGGTTTAGATTTGATATGATTGTTTTGAATGGTGTCCCGAGCGAGGTCGTTCGAACTCGAAGGTTTGAGAGTTTGAAAGCTTGAAACCTTAGAGTTTGAAAGTTCAATTCTAAAAATGAGGGTTCGAAGGTTTCAAGGGCTCTGGAACTCGAAAGTTTGAGCACTTTGGTCTGCGCAAGCAAGCCGGCGTCAAAGTTCGAACTGTTCAAACTGGAACATTACAAAATTTGACACTTTCGATCTTTCGAACTTTCGAGCTCGACTAGATTCTTCAAACTCTAACTTCAAACTTTTGCCGTACTCGTCGATCGGATCTCAAAGTTTTGGAGGTTGAGAATTTCAAATTTTGAATGTTCGAAGGTTTGACGGTTTCGAAAGCTTCGAGATCGAATGTTTGACTTCTTCAAAAAATTTAAAGCTCGCACATTCGACAATGTGAACGTTTGGAGTTTGTAAAGTTGGCTCTTCATGTTCGGTCTGCGGCTGGCCCGGCTGGCCATTGACGTCGAGAGCTTGAAATTTAGAGGGTTTCGAAAATTGAAAGATTTGGAGTTCGAAAGTTCGAAAATATGAGACGCGAGTTTGAGAGTTCGAAGGTTTGGAAGTCTCAAAAGCTTGAACGTTTGAAATGCGCCGAGTTCGAAAGTTCGAAAGCCCGCCGACTTTCGAGTTCGAAAGTTTGAGGTTTTGAAAGTTGGAAAGTTCGAGGTTTGAAAGGCCTCAGATTTGGTGATCTTGGTACGTCACATTTCTTAAATGCACTCCGTCATTTGGCGAACCCGGTTGATTACATTTCTTGAAGCCGCGTCCTCCTTGACGATTCCGGTTCTTCACATTTCTTAAACCCCCCCTCCCTTGGCGATCCTGGCTCATCATGTTTCTTACACCCACCCCATCATTTGGCGAGACCGGCTGATTAATATCGTAATCCCTCCCCGTTGCATTTAGCGATCCGGGTTGATGGCATTTAAGCGCCCCCTGACTTGGCGAACCCGGTTGATCACGTTTCTTGAAGCCGCGTCCTCCTTTGGCGATTCCGGTTCTTCACATTTGGTAACTCGAAACTTCAAACCTGAGGCCCTAGACTCAAGACATACGCTGAAACGGCAAAACAGCAACATGCTTTCAAACTCAGGCTTTCAATATGTTCGAATTCCAACATTCAACCTTTCATGCCTTTAAACTCTCAAACGTTCAAACTTTATGCGTTCGACCTTGTGAACTCCATGTCGCTAAGGCTTTCAAGCTTTCGAAGGGTGATTCTTTCAACTCTTCCACCAACCTTTGAAAGTTTCTATCTTTGAAGCTTTCAGACTCACAACGTTTCAATCTGTCAAGCTCCCTGGGTTTCAAGCTTTCATTTTCCAGCCCGGGAGCTGCTCCATGAACCCACCTCCGTCCTCCACGTGTCCTTCACCTCACGTCCCTCGCACGGCACACGTCGCTCCGGCTTCAAACTTGATTCTCGTTCAAACCTTCAATCTCCAAACCCGAGCTCACTTTCAAACTCGAGACGTTCAAACTTTCGAATTCCAACCTTTTCATTGTCCAAACTTCTCAAACCCTCCAATCTCGTCCTACATTTGATACGTTCAAACTTTCAAAGATTCGAGTTCGAAAAACCCTACTCGTGACACCTCGCGATTGTTTTGTGGATTGATTTGAAACACATGGTTCCGGATGGTGTGTATGCCACTGTCGAAAATCTTGTCTTTAGTATTCGTATACTCGGAATTGGCCCCCTGTAGTAAAATATGTTCACAAGGAGGAGCAACAACCACAATCTGTAAATGGCCCCCAGCAACGGCCCACTCTTCTCACGATGCTCGGTGCTGGGCCTGGGCGGTAAGGTGCAAACGGGTTCTGGGTTGAAGGTTTCGGTTGATGGGTTTCATTTTAACATGTTCTTCATGGTTCGCAGCCGGAACCCTGAGAAATATCTACTCGCGTTGTAAACACCTCTCAAAAGCTAAGCTGGTCTTTCGCAGAAAAAGGGATCCTGTATAATGCTGGTTCTTACTGTTTGGATTGTAGTGGAATATTTTATTGCAGTACATTTCCAGAGCATGTCGTGTCGTGGTGTAAACATGGCACAACCTTTAGTCAGATAACGAGGCAAGGAACCCGTAACACCGCGCTTCATGCGACAATCCACATCTATTTTAAGTAGGAGCACACCAATCTGAAGAACGTTTTGGGTCGATTGTCAGGTTTAAGGAGTGAGTGTTCATGGCCCTTTCAGTCTCAAGAAGCAAGAATCGTTGGCCCGAGCCATGCTTCTCATAAAGGTCTGGGGTAGTCTAGGGTCTAACAGGCGCAAGATTCAAATGCCCATCATGTGTAGAATGAGCTGTGACACTCACGGGTCGCCAAGCCTCCGCCCACAACCATTTCCCAAATGCTGCTAGTTTCCGATACCATGGCATGACAACGTGTGCATAGTCTTTGAATGCGAACGGTGCATGTAGAGTCTTCATGGGTTCATCGTTGCAACATAAAAAAAGATAAGTCTGCAGGGCGACTGCCAAGCAACACAGCCACGGAATTCTTTGCAGGTGAGGGTGAAGAGGAAGGCTACGGCGATGAGTTTTGAGATCGTCCTTGCCAGTGAAGCACGAGAGGGCAGCCAGCAGAATGTAGCGTTTTCATTTCGACCGGGCTTATAGTGGACGAAGCAGGGCTGCGGCTGCACCTCTTGCACTGCATGGGTGCCTCGCGTGGTAGCGACGGGTGAAACGATACCTGTTGCCGCATGCGATGCTTGCGAGGGCTTCGCCGACCCGGTTCGGCATGACCCGAATCTGTGGAGCTTCGAGCGAAAATCGACAGCTGCCTGTTGACAGGTCTTCCGACAGGTTTCCTGTTTCAGAACAAGTGACATACCGGGCTTGCAGCAGTTGCTGCTACTCCCCCCACTTCTCGTTTCTGGACAGCAATGATACAACAATGACAGTAATTAAGAAGAGTCACGATGTTAATGAATGCTAATGTGTACGGGTGAACATACTAACGGTAGCCCTGCGGCGGCAGAGATCGCAAGGCGTTCCGTGCAAGCTTGGGTTCAACGGTCTCGAGCTGTTGGATGTGGGGTTCAGAGCTTCTCGGTCGGCTTAGGGTTGAGAGGAGCAGCAACAGCAGTGGCAGTACATGAATACAAACCCCTAAACCCAAAACCCTCCCCCCTACCGCACTAAACGCTAAACCCCAAAAACCTTAAACCCGAAACCCCATGGCCGAAACCCCCGAAACTCGCCGATCTGACACTCGTGTAGTCTGGACCCCCAGCCTGGTATCCCCAGCAGCACGGACACTCAACCCTGTACAGAAAGGAACAGGGAACTTTATAACCTGGGGTTTATAAGGGTTGTAGGAGGGTTACAAGAAAGGTTACTGTGATGGCTACCATGAGGCTTGCTATGCTTCTTGGCTCAGGGGACTCCGTGAGTAGGGTTGCAAGTATCTTAGTTGGGGTTAGCAGAATTATACCTATCATATATGGGTCCTTAATAATCAGAAGAGGGTTCTGAGGTAAATGAAACTGTAATTTAGATACAGGGCCCCAGACTAGTATTGGTAGTTATTAAGGCCCTTATTTTGGTTACCTTACTTAGAACTCCACCTTCTGAGTCCCCTGATCCTTTGAGTGTAGAGATTTCGGATCGAGGCAACTCGCTCAGGCTAGGAGACTTGGCCCCTTCATCGATTGAGGCTCCTAGAGACGCCCACTCAAAAAAGGCTGTTTTTTCACAAAAAGAAACACCCCTAATTTTCATAACAAGGAGCATCCCTGAACGTTTTCCGAAAAAAACAGCCCTACACTCTAAACCCTAAACATCCCTTAATGCGCAGCTCCTGCAGGCTCTTCCGACGCGGGGCACCTGGGCTTTGACGTCCTTCCGCCTCTCCGGAGAAGTCTTCCTGGCCGTGGCGAGGCCTCGGTGGCTTTTGAGGGGCTTTAGGGTTTGTTGGGGGTTTTCTGGGTCTTAGGGCTTTCATGCGCTTACGGGGTTGGAGGTGTTTTCGGGGTTGCTGGAGTTTCAAGGTTGTAGCGCTGTGTTTTTCGGGTTTTCAACTTTGTAATGATCTTCTTGCAGTGGTGGGGCCCCTGGAAAAGGGCTTCTTTTGTGGGGCGTCCTGCCGGTGTTCAGAGTTTCAGGGGATTTCAAGGTTTAGGGTGTTGGGGCTTGTTTAGGCTTTTGACTGAGGATGTACGACGTCTTGGGCTGGAGGGCTCAGGGGCGTCAGGATGTTTAGGGTCTGTTACGATTCTTAGCAGTACTAGCACAATTGCCTGCTGCTGCTGCTGTTGATAGAAGTATTGTCATGGTTTTGTAGTTCTCAATTTTACAGTGAGTATTTATCGTTCGTATGTCTGCCGCCACCAGACATAGTAGTAGCAGAAGAGCAGGTGGCCCGTAACTTTTTTGGGTACTATAACACCTATATAATCCCATAATTTAACCTTTAGTTACTTTAGTTCCCTTGAAATGCTGGACAGCTGGGCGCCTTAATCCCAAATATCCTACCTTTTTTTGGACGTATGTAAGGAAGTCCGGGCAAGGAGCTCGAAACCCCAAGATTCAGAGGGCGCCGCAGTTCCTGTGCTCGACCGGCCGGGAGTCTGATGTGGTTAAGGGTGGCGATGGAATGCCCTCAGGAAGCCCTCCAAAACCCTTTTGAACCCCACTGTCAGCCCTAAGCCCTGAGACCCCACCGGCCTTGTAGACCTCTTACAAAATCCCTGCCTGGCCAGTTTCTTCGATGGTGCCAGCCGCAAGTTGAGCAGCCGTCTCTATCGCTGGGATGCAGGCAGCTCAGTCGAGTCATCGCTCCGGCAGAGAGGGTTTAGAGTTAAGGAGATGCAGCAATCACATTGCTGTAGCTCGTAATCCCTATGGAACCTCCACAGACTTCTTCATAAAACCCTATCAAACATCGCCGGAGGAGGGCCACCTGATTGCAAGAACGCCAGAATCCGTAGCGAGAGCCCAATACAGGGTCAGGGGTCTGAAGTCTACCGAATAGCATCCCTCTGCAGTCTTTAAAATAACCCTAGTAGACTCTAGTATAATGTAACCCAAACCCGATTCTAATATTATTGAGGCCTCATGGCTCCGTTCGCAATTGAAACTCTTCGTTGCAAAACCGAAGAGCAGCTGTGGGCAGGGTTCCGGGTTTGTGGTCTAGGGTTTAGGGTTTCAAGCATCGAAACACCCGGAACCCCGGTTTTAGGTGGGTGTTACTAGGAATATTATGCTTTGTTGGGTTTTACAGAGGTTCCTTTGGCTTGATAATATAGGGGAGCCCCGGAGAAAGGATCTGAGCAATTGGTAATGGTATTCGTTGTGGTGCAGAATGTTCTAACTAGTAAGGCCATATTAGAACACCCCCTGAGCACCAAACATTGAGGCCTTCAGGGTCAGGTCTAGGGATTTAGTTCTGGGATATGGGGATTTACCGTCCTGGACTCTAGTCGGAACCTTGAACATGAAGCCCAGAAAGCTGAAAGGCAGCACCCCTCGTAAAAAAAAAGCCTTAGAGCCTTGCGGCCGCTCAGGTGGGTCTGGACATGTTCGTGTGGCATCAGGCAGGCCTCAAACAACAAAGGCTATGAACCCTGTCAGCCCTGCAAACCCTAGAATCCCTCTAAAATCTAGAAGTGCTACAAGCCCCAAACGCCCCATATACCTTGTAAAACCCCACAAGCCCCATAAGCACTCCAACAGCCTTAAGGCTCCTTGTAAACAAGCCCCATAAGACGCCTACAGCATCCTTTAACCCCCATGAATCCAGTAAGCCCTAGACACAGGCTTTTGTCGGGTTTTGTTGGGTCTGATGGCCACTTGCGTACATCTCTTGCCGCGCTTCCTTAGTTAAGCCCCCAGCCCTTTAGTGGTCCAGCCTATGGCACACCTCGAAAAACAATATGCGCATCTGTGTCCCAAGCAACCTGCCGATCTTTCTGTGGTCACTTCCTCGCCTCCGTCGGCATCAGCGGCCGAAGACAGCTGCAACAAGGACACCGACCTTGAAACTGCAATCTTAGTGTGGCATGCATAGCTGGTTGGAAGTGTTGGTTGTTGAATACGTCAATCGCGCGTCTTTGCAGGGGCGAGTTGCTGTCACTCAGACGCATGTGCCTCACCCAGAGCAGTTTTCGGTTCCCAGCTCGCTGCGGCGCTTCTTGGACCTAGGTAGGACCTGGTAGGATGCTGCCTGACCATGCGTGGAACATGGAAGTGAACCTTCTGTCTGCTGCCGAAGCTCATGATTTTGCGTGTCGACACGGCATTGATCTGACCGGATCACGCAAAGAGGTGCTGAATGCCGTCGCAAAGGCTGTCAGTGCCATGCCATTCCACAACCTCGATCTTTTGGCGACAAATCCTGGCGCTCGCAAGCCGCCCACTGCCCAAGAGGTGAAGGCGTCCATGCTGAGAGGACAGGGCGGTCTGTGCTTTGTCAAGCAGCCCTTTGTTGGCCATTTGTTGCAGGCACTGGGATATGCGGTGGAAGTTCTCCCTGGTGCCGTCACTCATCCTGGGAACCATGTTATAGTAGTGGTTCATGATGTCCAGGAGGAGGGTGACCGCTACTTGGTCGAAGCTGGCTGTGGCTATCCATCCTCCCAGGCCGTTCGCATCGATGATGACGGCCACAAAGGCTTTGAGCAGGTCTTCCAAGACTCTTTTCTAGAGTTCCGCTACGTGAAGAACCCGGGAGAGAGCCTCATCCACCGGGAGCATCGTACGGGCGACCCCCCGCATAGGCCTCTTGTGCCAGACTCCTTGGGTAGGGCAGCTGAAGTTGATGGCTGGCGACGTTTCTTTGATTTCTTTTACCCTGCATCGGGCAGTGCCGAGGAGCTGTTGCAGGGTGTTAAGGATGTTTGCACGCTTCCTGATGCTTCGCCATTCCTAACCAGCCTTCGTGCAGTGCGATGGGTAAACGGCAGGATGATTGCAGTCAAGGATGCGAAACTGCTGGAGGAGGACGAAGATGGCAAAGTTGTTTCCACCCAACTACATGATGCAGAAGGCATCCGCAAGAAGCTCATCCTGCATTTTCCGGAGATGGAACGCGAGCTGCTTGATGCAGCCCTGGCGTACTGGCACTGCCATATACATGTACCCCGAGTGCCGGCGTAACAGAGCCTGGGATACTGAGGTAAATCACCTCTCGTCGGTTCACAGCGACTGTGCCAGTATACAAGTGGGTGATTAGCAGCAGACAAACAGCTCTTTTCAGAACTTTTGAAGGAAAAGCGAGCGGCTGGCTGGACACTTTATGCATACGCCCCAACAAGACCTTTTGCATCAAGTATACCAAGGATCAAGTGGTGCAAGTAAATCAATTTGGAGCAGAAGTCATGAAAAGTATCGTCAAGCTACCGGCCAAATTCCGCAAAGACTTCTCACATTGGCAAAAGGAGAGTAAGGGGACCTCGGCAAAACTTGAAGTTTCTCACGAACAGCTTCATTTTGGAATCGTGCGAGTCCCCTTTACTCTTTATGCCAGTGCATACATGCACAAGCTTGCATGGATGAATGTGCAGTCAACCGCCAGTTTTGGTCTCACAAGCATGCCAAAAGAGGCAGGAGACCCTGGCAAGCAAGAGAAAAACAGACATCACAGCCTTTTACACCTAAACTCTAAAACCGGCTCCGCCCATCTTTCTGCAGCAGTGGTCGGCCTGGTTTGAAGCTTCGGTAGGAACAGGCTAACCTAGGGTCGAACAAGCAATAATAGTGTCCGGTTGTATTTCTTGTTGTAAGTAGAATAGAAGATGCCACAAGACCCCATTCAAACTTTTTAAGTTAGCAACAATGACTTTAAAACACGACATCTCAAAAACGTTTTGGCATGCATGTCTGTATTGGATGGTGCATTCAGTAAACCCAGAACGTACGGAAGCACCCTTGTTTGCAGGACATGGACGACCACATCACCCAGCTCTACCACCACAGCCGCACCTTGGGAGGTTCTCGCAGGGGCCTGAAAACATACTGTAGTGTAATATACCCCAAAATCCTATTCTACCTCTTAAGTCCCCTATATTACTCTGCACCTTTGCAGCCCAGATTGGCAACCAAGCGAAGGATCCGTGGAATTTAGGGTAACACCCAGCATCGAAGAAGGAACACTTAGGAACCCTAGTTCAGGAATCCCTTAAAGGAACCCCCCCAAAGTTACAAAACACAGTTCTAGTTGTTCGGGCTTTTTTTTCAGGCCCTAGACCTTCACTTCCCGACTGTGAGCCCTAGGCCACGAACCGCCTCGAGCATCGTCTTTTTAAAGCTGGCGAAAACTAACAAAACCCCACACAACCCATAAGGAAAGATCCTAGCATCCCCCTTGAAGCACCTTGAAATCCGCCCTTGTGTGCAGGACCTGGCCACCGAGGGTGCGAAGGACGTGGAGTTTTTGAGGCTCTCCGACTCGCTCGGAGTTGGGCCCCCGGCTGTTTCGTCGGGCCCTCTCCCTAGTCACCCTAAACCCTAAACCGTAGGGATTCTGGCAGGAGTCTCCAGGACTCTGGGGTTCTGTAAGGGCTATATAGGGGTTTCTGTGAGGGTTCGATGGGCTTCATCAGGCTTTTCTGCCTTCTGGGAGGATTTGTTTCGGAGTTTACAAAGGGTTTTGAAGGGTTTATATAAGTTTAAAGGGTTCCAGAGACCTCCAGTTACGCATTAAGTGAAGGATTCGCCCCTTGAGCTCCCAAGCGTCTCCTTAGTACCTTAGTATGATATAAGGCACCGGTTGCAGAAACCAGGGGACCCCAACAGAGACCCGGAAAGAATGGGAAGGGTCCTTACCCCCTGAACAACATATTTCCTAAAATTAAGGTACACCACCATTTCTGTATTTCCTAGAGATCCCTATGAACCGCATTTAGAGGTGCTCGGGCCCGCTTGGGTCTCAAGCTGAAACCTCCGGGCCTTGGAGGGACGCAGGGGGTTTCGATTTGGCGTTGTGGGCTTTGGGTTAGAGTTAGAGTTGAGGATTTAGCGTGTGGCGTTTGCGGTGTAGAGGTTAGCGTTTGGAGTTTGGGGCTTACCGCACCAGCATAGTTACACATTGGCTCTGCCTCTTCCTTTAGTGGCAGGTGTGATGTCATCGTGAAGCCGGAGACTCGAAAAAGACACTCGAACACACGCTCTAAGTCCCTGCTGCTGCATAAGCCTCCGAAGTGAGCCCAATTTAACCCCAAGTGTGAGCCAAAAGCTCCCTTGACACAATCTACACTGTTTTCCGAGGTGTTGGCCTTCGCTGAAAACAGCGCCAACGACAGCGTGCCGGACTCACCGCTGAACCCGTGAACCCTTAACCGTCCATATGCCGTGAACTCCTTAAGCAATAAACCCTTATGAAATCATAAACAAGTTGATTTTTTATTTACAGTGACAGGGATCCATGGTAAAGACTATGGTTTCTTTGCTATGGTAGCTTGGGTTAAACTCCTTGAGAAGCGCCCCAGAAAGAAAAAACCTTTACCAGAAGCCAGAAAGTTTGAAGCTCACTAACCTCACAACTCGCACCCGTGATATAGAAGCAGAAGCAAATCCAGCACGAATCCTCCTTAACCCATGTTCCGACTTGATGTGGCCTCTTACTGTATATCAGGAACCCCAAAGTTTCAAACTCAGGATGCCCCAGGTTTGGCGAGGGGTCGGAGGGCTGTGGTGAGGTATTGCGTTGCACTATATTGTACTATGTTATACTATATGGCACTATATTATACTCTACTTTTATGTACGATATTATACTCTACTGTATTACATTATGTTATACTGCCTTAGAGTGTGTTATATTATATCAAAGTCTTTTTTTAGTGGCAGAAGGTATATTGCCGTGTAACATATTATGGTTGGGTTTGTGAGGGTATTATTGTTTGGTTCTCTTCGGCGACAAGCTTTGGGAAGGTTGAATAGGGTGTTTACAAGGGTGAGCGGGTAGGGGTGTTGAGTATCATGTAGGGTTTCCGAAGTGGTTCAGGGTCATTAGAGTGTCCAACTTGAAGAGGACGGCCTGAAGGCATGTGAAATCGCTTCGGGAATCATTTGTGGAACGCTTCAAAGTTGAAGCAGCATCCAACATCACGGACGCCACACAAGAAGCCCCGATAGCCGTCACAGTCGTCCCACATCCCGCAAAAGCAGCAATGTCCCGACCAGCTTGGAGTCGTGACAAAACCGAAAAATCCGCAGCATGGACCCTAAACCGCAAGCCTCCAACCGAACCCCTGAACCCAAGATCCTGAAACCGTGGACGCCTGTACATCGCATAAAAGCGTTGTTGAGTCCTTGTAAAACTGTCACAAAAAAACCCCTATACGTCTCATAAGCTAACCAAGGAAGCACAACACAAGCACAACAAGAAGCAACCTGCGCTACAACGCCACCGAAGACCGTTTGACAATGGCAAAAGCGGGGAACACCAAGAGCACATTATACAACAAGACCCGCAACAAAAAGACGCAGATACCTTTCATAAGCCCCAAGCACCTTAAACCCCAAACTCTAGCCCTTACATTTACACACCGAAATTCCCCGAAACCCTCAGCCCTCAACACCGAAATCCTAAGCCCTAAACCCTACATGCTTAACCCCAGACTCTAGGTAAACCTTAAATCCTAGACCCAAGACACTAAACCCTAAAGCTAGCTCCGAGGTCGGAGAGTGCCGCCTTTTCGTGTGGCGGCCGGCAAAGCAGCAGTTCGAGCTGCTGCAGGCGCGCAGGGTTCAGGGTTCAATAGAATTCCTCAAAGGTCCTTGCTTATTCGGAGTAGACCATACCCCGACATATTGAAAAAAGAGCCATTATTTCCGAAGGTTAGGGTCTATTTCTGGGTTTTGTAGGGTTGTTGAGGGCTTTTCAAGTTTATTGTTTCAGGGTTTCGTGGTTTTAGGGTTTAAAGATGCATGAGTTTAAGGGTGAGGGGTTCACCTGGTGCATTGGTTTCATTCGTACTCATTGCACCACTACTACCAGTAGTACTACGACTGATAATGCCACTGCTTCTACTACCACTCCCACGACGACGATGACCATCACTGCTCCTACTACTATTACACACGTAGACAAGCACACATATAGAAAAAACATAAAGATAAACAACCACATAGATAAACAAGCATATATATATATATATATATAATATAGCATA